CTTCGTCTCTCTCTTCTTCTCTCTCTCTCTCTCTCTCTCTCTCTCTCTCTCTCTCTCTCTCGTAATTACTCGCCTGATGAGATAATGATAACCCTTGTAAATGAATGAGAGCGAACGGTCAATCCGTTCCAACGAACAATACGCGGATGACTAGTTCGTTAAAATTCTTCCGAGCTGCTAATGTACTTCTCTAGTGGTAGCTAGTAGTTTCCATTTTTTCCCCTTTTCTTTCCTTTTTTGTAATTTTTTTTTGCATCAGGAAATTTTGTTCGAACGATACATCAGCAACCACTATGCTCGCACGTAACTCGAAAGATAAGTAATTGGTAATAGGTGTACGCAATACACATATCGAAATCTAATATTTTCTATATTACTCGTGAAATCGTGACCGTATCATCTTACAAATTTCTTGAATCAAAAATATTTTCTCACATTCTCAACCCGTGTAACCGTTTTACCTATACGTCCACATATTTTACTCAACCTGAGCTGAAATCTAACCTAACCTATTCAAAACACACTGCTGTATCTAACTGTATCCGCATCGAAGCTCGAATTATCTTTCCGCAAAAGTGCGAAACCCGTATCGTTTCACAAGGATCGGCACGATAGAGGTCAAAATCGAACATATCGCAAGAATTCACCGATCAAGTAGTCGAGATCATGCGAAGGATATATATCGTTTCTCGTTCGCGCATGGCAATTTAACACGTGCTTATTATCGCGCTTAGCCCACTCCCCGTGTTTTCGATACTCGATAAAATTAAGAGGTCAACGGAACAACAGGACGAAATAGGAATCCGAGCTTAGCGCTTGCGAAATTCTATCTGGAGGGAAAACTGACCGCGTTCAACTGTTCTCTCCGTGCTCTCGGATTGCGTTGCAGGTCTCTAATGTCAGAAAGGCAGCGGCCAGGTAGATACGAGAGGATAAAAGCGAGAGAGAAAATTATGGGGAGCCGACACAGTCACGAGAAGGCCTTCTAAGGTCGCCACGAGAACGAGAATTCTCCAAATACCTTCGTTGAGGTCGCGTTCGATCGATCCGGGAATCGTTGGTCAAATTATTTCACGATTCGAACATCTCGAAATTTAATTCTCGATTCATCGTTATGCCACTTTGGAATTCTTGTGGATTCGAATAAAATTTTTTAATGGAACGAAACCTCTAAAATTGCCAAAAATATTCGCACTCACTTTGCACTAATCACTCTCTCCTTTAAACACTTTTTCCTCGGCCCACGACCTTTCCACGATTGATCTCGCATTATTTCGTCCCGAGCCATATTGTTTACAAATGATTCGTGAACCAATCTACGATCTCGGAATGCGAGCGAGGTCCGCCGGTAACGCGGGTCCCGTTTTTACCATGCGGAGAACAGCCGGCTGAACGGAAAACGACGAAAGGCGTAATCAAGTTTCGGATTATATCCATCTGATTTTTCTCGGCGCACCTCTCTCCGCGCATACCTGTCGTATCTTTCTATATAGCGGCCAAGTCATTGTCGATCCAGCTTCGTTTTCGTTCTTCATCGTGAAAACGGAACGTTTCTATCCAGGTTAGTTTATCCAATCTCTTTCCATGTCGATCTCATATTTTAATAAAGGGAAACATCGTCGTAAACGATAGCGATATAACAATTTAATAGATTCGTTTGAGACAACGCCGTAACAGATCGTTTCGAGGTTATAAAACCAGTATTCTGCATAAGTGCATTGTAGATTAATTATTTCAATTGATTTATTGCGATTGAACGGGTAGATCGAAGATAGAAATAACGAAGAGATAATTATCCTTGTGTTGTTGAATATGTGTTTATAACAATTGAATCCAATTCAATTTTATTCCAAGTTTCAAAATCGTTTTCGAATTGCTCGATGCGACACGATTTTTTTCGTAAACCTTGTTAAAAAAAATTCAAGTTTCCTTTTACTCCCTATCGATACATCGGAACATTCAGGATTCATTTATGACCGAGTCTAATACCATCATAAAGTGTTAATAGCACGGTGACGGACAATAAGTATGTAAAACGATTTTGCAGGATGCATAGAAGTGGTTGGTGAAGTGCGTCGAGAACCTCCGCTCGAATAATCGAAGTTGCAGGATAAAACAGCGCGGTTAATTATCTAACGATTGGTAATTGCTCACTTCGATGGCCGCTCGATTGCTTCCTCGTTCCTTCCCAGTCTTCTCTGTCCAATGGCTCGCTTTGTGTAACGCGCTTGTGTTAGAGAACGGAAAACGGAAGAAGAAAAAAAAGTAAATCCATCGATTGATATGCCGGTTGGGTTGCTTAGTCACTCGGTTGGACAATTAGTCGTCCAGTAAAGTAACTCGTGTACAGGATAAACGAACGGCTCGATTAAAACATGATAAGCATTAATCGGTGAGTTCTATGTCATTCGAGCAGGCCAGCTAAATTATTAATAAGTCTTGATTCGCGAACAAAAAGCACGCTTCCTGCTTTCTAATCGGCCCGTGTTTTAGACCTCGTTCCTCGTGTCCGTGTTTCTTCGTTTTACAGACTTTATCCGCCATTATTCGAATGCACAATTGAGAAGTGGATAGATCGTTTAGCAAGATAATTGATTCTCCAATGATTTTGTTCCCTGTTTTATATCCATTTCGAGAGTTCATTGCTGATTGATATTATTCAAGTTGCGAACGTTAATCTTTTTTTTCCCCCCCATTTTAACGACACTAATTAGATGGATAGTCGGCGTTTCACTTTATTTTGACGTTCAACGATTATTGGCAAAAATATTACAGAGTAATAACAATAATAATAGTAATAATAATAATAATAATAATAATAATAATAATAATAACAACAAGTATGATCTTATATTTATACAGCGGCAGGAAATTTCCATCCGGTAAATAGAAAAAAAAAAAAAAAAAACTTTAAAATTAATGCGCCATTATATATTTATTAAAGATAAATTGATTTATAAAGGATAAGCGTTGGTTAGTCCGTTGGTTAATAGGATACAGTTTGATTTACATATTAATCGAAAGGTCCCTTCGAAGTATCCTTCGAAGGCAATTATGCCTGCCGATGAATTCCGTTCTATCCGCACAGGTGATAGAACAATGGCGCGTTTCGATCGATGTCGATGTAGGCCGATGAACTTCGATCGAGGCGATCGATCGGCGGATCGTTCGTTGGCGTTCGCGGAGAGGACGGAACGTGTGATCTTTCCGCAGCCTTTCCTCTCCCGTCATTCGTTGACATTTTCTGGCCGCCGCGCACGTACAAGAAGATGGCGGCGGATGCCGATATTATCATACGTCCGACTCGAGCCCGGAAGATGTCTCTTGCGCGACCATTCTCTTCCCGTCCCCTCCCTCCCTCCCTCGATAACGATCGAGGCCAACCTCGAGAAACTTTTAACCAACGTTAAATCCAACGGCGTCAATTTCACGAATTTCACGATTTTCGTATAAGAGAATAATTTTGGATGTCTACTGGAGTATTTATTCGTTCATTTCAAATTTAAAATATAATTATATATCCAACAGATTGTATAAATATTCTCCTGAGTTATTAAGCGTTAAATTTATTTATATATCGTCGAAACGGAAAGGATTAACGAGCAATGGAGTTCTTTTTTTTTTTTTTCTTTTTTTCGTGTTATATCACGAAGGAGAGCGAATCGATCGATCGGTTATTAATAATTGTTGAGGGGAGATCCGAACCCGGCCGGACCAGTTATAATAAGACCGCGTACGTCAGATGCGCGGGCCAATTAACGATCGTTCGTAATAATAATTTTAACATTGATAACGGGAAAGGAGGGGAGGGAAAGGGGGTATGATAAATCGTAGATGGAAAATTTAAATCGTGTTTATCGAGCTATTTATAAACGTCGGATATTCGATCGATGTCCAATAAATTTATGGACGAACATAGTTGTCGGAATAGAACTCTGTTCTTTCGGAATATCTTTAGCAAGTTGGCGGCTATTTTCCTTCCTTCCTTACACGTAAAATTGACAAGGATGGAGGTGATTTTTCCTTCGAATTCGATCCGAACGCAACGATAATGAATAAACATCGGTGAATATTTCCATTGTAAAACACTTTTACACGCGAATTTTCCATTTGCAACCGGGTCTCTGATTGCAACAAGATCGTCATCTAGACGCTAAGTACAATATAGAAGACCTCGTTCGAGATAAGGAAATCGGGTAACAGGTTTGCTCACGTACGTACGTGGAAAGAAAAGAATTGAGAATTTAGATGGTGCAATTTCATTTCAAATGAAATTGCAACTTCTATCTCTACCTCTTTTTCTCTAAGTGACTTCCTTCTATCGCCAGATTCGTATCTCTCTCTCCCTCTCTTCTCGTTACGAAACCAGCCTCTGAACCCAGAATCCAACCACGGATTACGCTTTTATCGCGGGCAAAACTTGATATTCGAATCTAAATTTTTCCTCTCAAATATGTTTACGATCATCTGATTCGCTACTCGACTGCCCCGACTGTCCACTTGTGTTGCAATCGAAATACGTGAAACATACCCTCCCCTCTCTCCGACAACTTTATCAGATCAATTATTTAACTTGGCAAATTTTCAACGGGCGAAAGGAAACGAAGTGGTTAATTTTCGATAAACGAGTCGAAAGATATTGAATCGTTTCGTTTTCTTTTCTTTCCCTTTTTCCCTCGTCGATCCATTCGTATTATTTTGGAAGTTTTGAGGTTTTAATTGTCTTTAAGCAACCAAGTTTTTTTGCGAAGAATTTTAACGAGTGTTAACATTATAACGGAGTTTGCAGGTGGAGAAGTTCGCTCGGTTATTCCAATTGAGGAATTCCTCTGCAACAGGAGATGAATTCTTAGGGTTTGTAGGTGATGCGTTCTCTAGGGCTGACGTATAAACACATCGTTCCAACTGTTCGTTCACGTTTCTCGAAGGGAAGAGAAATTATCGACGAAACGATTAGGATAAGAAGGATTTAAGAGGTAATTAGGAGGAAGATAAGAAGGGGAAGATTTATGTTAAAGCAGGATTGAAATGAAAGAATTTCAGTAGCATAAATCAATAATATCCACCATTTTTCTAATTCTTCCAAGCTGTTTCTCATTTTGATAGAATCAAATATCAAAAATCTTCTCTCTTCGCGAAATTAATTTCAAATTAATATTCCGCATATAGAAAATCTTCCTTTCATCGAAAAATACCTAGCTTCTTTTCGATTCTCCCTTCCCATTCCAATCTTCTCAACCCTCGAGTAACTCTTCGAGCAGGATCTTTTTTAGAAGCTTCTTGCATTTCGAAAATCATGTTTGGAAGACTAACACGCGAGAAAATTCGAATCGCATGAAATGAAAACTTAAGCCATCTTCAAATCTTTTCCACCCACGAAATCTCGAAAACTGGAAAAAAATACGAATGAAAATTCGAATCAGAAACTCCTTCAAAGCATCGTTTCGAAAATCAAGTTTGGAAGATTAAACGCGAGAAAAAAAATGATCACAATGATTATCAAAAATGTGTGAATTCGCATGATAAATATAACAAAATTAATTTTAATCAATTTTAAGCAAATATCTCCAACTCTTCCATTCACGAAATCTGGAAAACTAAATTCCTCTCGTTAACCGAAAAATATTTAATCATCGTTCGAATTATACTTCGCACTCGTCGAGCAGAATTCGATAATCGTTAAGAACACATTGCGATCGAGTGAAAGATCGAATCGAAAACTTCTTCCAAACTTCTCCATCGTTTCGAAGACTAAACGTCACGTTCGAAACGCACGATGAAAACGAATTAACGAAAGAAATTTCCACAAATTTTGAAAAACTGGAAAACCAAATTCCTCTCGTTAACTTAAAAAAATATTTATATCATCCTTTGATTATAATTCGCACGCTAAGAAAAAAATTCATCGTCACAATGATCGTAACAAAAGAAATTAAATTTTAGCAATCGAAGCAATCTCACGAGATCTGGAAAACCAAATTCCTCTCCTTAACTTAAAAAAAAAATGTGTGAATTCGCATGATAAATATAACAAAATTAATTTTAATCAATTTTAAGCAAATATCTCCAACTCTTCCATTCACGAAATCTGGAAAACTAAATTCCTCTCGTTAACCGAAAAATATTTAATCATCGTTCGAATTATACTTCGCACTCGTCGAGCAGAATTCGATAATCGTTAAGAACACATTGCGATCGAGTGAAAGATCGAATCGAAAACTTCTTCCAAACTTCTCCATCGTTTCGAAGACTAAACGTCACGTTCGAAACGCACGATGAAAACGAATTAACGAAAGAAATTTCCACAAATTTTGAAAAACTGGAAAACCAAATTCCTCTCGTTAACTTAAAAAAATATTTATATCATCCTTTGATTATAATTCGCACGCTAAGAAAAAAATTCATCGTCACAATGATCGTAACAAAAGAAATTAAATTTTAGCAATCGAAGCAATCTCACGAGATCTGGAAAACCAAATTCCTCTCCTTAACTTAAAAAAATATTTATAATCATCGTTTAATCATAATTCGCACGCTGGAAAAAATATCGCACGATTAACGTAACGAAACGAATTAATTTCAACTTGAAAAATATTTATAATCATCGTTTAATCATAATTCGCACGCTGGAAAAAGTATCGCACGATTAACGTAACGAAACGAATTAATTTCAACTTGAAAAATATTTATAATCATCGTTTAATCATAATTCGCACGCTGGAAAAAATATCGCACGATTAACGTAACGAAACGAATTAATTTCAACTTGAAAAATATTTATAATCATCGTTTAATTACAATTCACAAAACTCGTCGAGCAGGATAATCCTGTAATCGTTAAAGGAGGACGCGAGAATTCGAGCGCGGCTGCGGATTTCCTCGTTCCACGGTATTCCATTGGAATCCGCGCGATCCAATATTTCATCGGATCGGTAAATAAAGGCGGCCCCCCTCCCCTCGCATGCCAGCCGCGCATTACGAACGCCGCTATTAATTGCTCCACACTCGGTGGACGGCCGAGGATCCTTGATTTACGCGGATCGAAACAGGACGCGCCGCGGCGACCTCTAAATCATCCAGCCAAGCGAGCGCTCGAAACTCTAAACGCTTTTTCCTTTCGCTCGTTATCGTTAAACCCTCCCCGATATTTTGCATCTCAATGAACGTGGCGAGAAACGGCGAGTTTCGCTATTTATGGCCGTCTCCCTATTCGTGCCCATGTTTTTCGATTCAAGGAACAACCTCGTTCCAGCCTGGGTAGAGGATCTCGCGTTCGGTTGGGAAAAATATCCTATCTTTTTCCACTCTACGTAGAATGTATCGCGCGTGTTAAGCGTGTTAACTGCGTGTTACGGATCGTGTTTATAAATTGGATTGGACGAATTGCTTGAACGGGGCTTTTGGCCCCGATATTAATAAGATTTAATTTTTTCGAAATATATTATTAAGTTTGCGATAATAATTTTTCTAATTTTTCTTTTCCTCTCTAATACGGTGATCGGTTTTTCGATTCGAGTCAATGTGTTGATACGAGTTACAAGACAAGAATGGAGTTTTCACTACTACTGTTATCGAGATAGCTTCGATTTTTCGGTTTCGATCGATTTTTCAAAGTATATTAAGTTTGCGAAAATAATTTTCTAATTTTTCTTTTTTCTCTCGATCGATTTTTCGAGGCTTTTGTTTGTGGGACGATTAATATGTCATTCGATGAAACTTATTAATGGATTCTTCCATGCCAACGTTTATCGGTCGACAATTTATCGATCGGTTTTTCGATTCGAGTCGTGATGTGTTGATACAAGTTACAAGACAAGAATGGAGTTTTCACTACTATTATCGAGATCGAAATAATTAATGTCAATCTTAATTTTTAGAGTTTGCGAAAAATAATTTCTCTTTTTTCTCGATTTTTTGGATGTTTCCACACTTTTGTTTGTGAGACGATTAATACGTCATTCGATGAAATTTATATAATAGATGCCAACGTTTATCGGTCGACAATTTATCGATTCGAGTCGTGAACACAATAATCAAAGTGTTATAGATACAAGTTACGAGATAAGAACGGAGTTTTCACTACTACTGATCAATGATTCAAAGCGCATTAAACCTGCGAAAATAATTTCCTAATTTTTCTCGAGATCATTCTTTTCGACTTATCGATCGACACCCCCGATCAATCGAACCAATCTTTCGACAGTAGCTAAAAAGCTCTTTCTCGAGATGTAAAAAGAATGTAACAAAACTTCCATGATAAGAATAAGAAAGTTTTCCCTACTGTTTCAAATCGATCGAATAAAATTCGGCCTCGATTTCACCAACACTTTCGAAAACCGGAAGAATCGGAGAATCCAATCGCGATTCAAAGCAAAACGAAACGATTCGAAACGCAATAATATCGGAACAAAAGGGATTTCGTCCTTTTTATCGTCGACGAGAAACCGGTCTTGAAGAAGCCTGCGGCCCCGTAATTCTGCGTTGCGTGCGTGCAACGTGTAAATTCTCGACACCGTTTCTGCAATATTGTTCCGTCCATTGTACGCGCATAGGCAGCCCGATTCCAATATCGGAATGCTGGGATCGGTTAACAAGTTGCGATCTCGAACAGAAACATTTCGCGCGGAATTACGTTCGTTTTCAAAATAATAATCTAAAATAATAATCTAAATTTAAATTTATTCGTTTAAAAACTACTTAAAACTACATCGACTCGCACGTAACATTCGTCGAACAACAAAGTTTCTCTCGTGCGCACGATTTTCATTAATATTAAACCTATATCTATTCCCATGAGCGATGAAATGACAAAAAAACGTTTGTATCTTGATATAGAAAGAGATTTTAGGACTCGTAAGGTAAACAATACAGAAAATTGTGAATATTGAGAAATGGGTTGTATCTGCATTATAGAAAAAGTGAATAAGTCATATGGCGATGCAGTAAGTACTTTGTGTACAAGAAATTCTAAACGAAATTTCAAAAACGGTCGTTCGCCGTGGTAGGTTTAGCGTTAATAATAAAAATCGAGTTTCCACGAATATCGCGGCTGTCTGTCATAAGAACGCCGCGCGCTCTTTTCTTCTCGAGGATCGTAAATTCGAGCACTCTCTCGCACGACCTACCCCACGCGCTCGTCCATTGGAGGATGGCCAGGTGACACGCGTCCTATCACCGTTTCTTCTTCTCTTCTTCTTCTTCTTCTAACCGCTGTTACGACTACTATGACGTATTTCGAGGGGGAAAAAATGTAGCGTTTCCTCGAATTTCGACCGCCATTCACGACTCGTGGATATATATATATATATATATATATGGAAGGAAGGGTTGGAAGAGGACGTGTCTCGAGGATTGAAAGAGAAAAATTGTTGAGGGAATTGAGAGAAGGATTTTGTTTCGACACGAAGTTGAAGTAGCGTTGGATAAGTAAGTTGGTTCGAGTAAATTGTTTATTGAAATATATCGAATGATTATATTTATTCGTAGATATCAATTATTTTTGATTACGCTTTCTGAACTTCTGAAAATAGATCATTCGAGGCAACTTATTTAACTAACTTTGTTCTTTAATTATTCGAAACTATTAAATTCTTCATGGTTCGATTAATCATTAGTAGGAGAATTTAAATTTTACGAAGAAAGGGAGTGGTAAAATATTCATTACGTAAAAATTCGCAAATTTTTACATTTCAAAGAATAACACGATTGTTTCCATTATCTTTCGTATTTTCCTTCATTTTCACTCCACGCAACTTCTAAATATTCACTCAAAGAAAAAATAACACGATTCTCTCAATTATCCTCCATACTTTCCTATCTTCATTTCAACTTTGTAGTCCGATTATATTACATTCCAAAGAAATGAATAACACGAT